TCCTTCTCTCTCTCCTCTCCTCTCACTCAGCCTCCCACTCTGATGCAGACGTGGAAATCAAGCATTGGATTTCTGTTAGCTCCAACAGATCCATCATCTCAGGAGCCTTTCCCCAAAACAACCTACTGTTTTAGTCCTTCTGTTGTCCATAAAAGTTTCTCCACTTTCCTAAAGGTATCAGAGTCAGACCGCAGCTCAGGGATGGATGGATGGATGGATGGATGGATGGATGGATGGAGGACAGAGGACAGTGTATGTGTGATAAAAAGGTGGTAGAAGTCAGGAAAGGGAATTCGGATGGATGGAAGCTCTCTCTCTCTCTCTCTCTGTCTCTCTCTGTCTCTCTCTCTCTCCTCCTGCTGTGTGGGTTTAAAGCAGCAAAAAGAAAGTTAATGACAGGACAGAGTGGTTAATTATCATGCTGTCAGGATTAGCGGTGGATGTGGATTATAACTGGGGCTGTGATGATGTTTTGGGGGGTAGGAATTTCACCCCCTGCTCTCTTTCTGTGCGCTCAGGATCCAGTGGGCACGTTGGAGAATATAGGCTAAGGGAAAAAATAACCTAACACCACACACACACACACACACACACACACTCACACTCACAGAGAGTCAGACTTTATCAAGGGAAAAGAGAGAGAGAGAGAGAGAGCGAGCGAAGGAGAAATCCGATCCCAAATACATGACGTCAGTTGACATTCCTTTGGTGAAAGGCTGATGTGGCCCTGCACATTTTTTTTCCTCGGGGGGGGGGGGGGGGGGGGTAGGGGGTGGGCTACCAGCTGAAAAGGTGTGTTTACGATTATGGTTGTTAAGGAATTCTCCCTGTGGTGCATGAATGGGCAATTTATTTCGCTGCCACAAGTCGGGGCCCATTAAAAAGTCTTGTCGTGGGGCTTTTTTCTGGGCTCTGCACAGCGAGAGTGGGGACGAGGAGGAAGCAGGTAGCACTTTAATGAGACTGACATCCTGTGGCACATGTTGGTGCAGCATTTTCAGATAATCTCGTAAAAAGTTCTTTCTTGATACGTGGTTTCATTCTGGAGGTCTGATAAGATTTATGATTGTAAAAACTAAAACTAGCTTTTGGCCACTGAACCTCAAAATATTTTTTTTTTTGTTGCCACTTTTAGGCTTTGGTCTTTTAGTTCAAAGATCAAAGGCCAAAACTACTTCAGTCGTAACAAAACTCAAAAAAGTAAAAAAAAAAGAAGAAAGAAAGCCTATTACTAGTGAAAGCTTAGCCAACAACATTGGAAAAATTGACAAAATAGAGAAGAAACAACACTTAGAAAAAAAAAACTGTAGATGAAAAAGTCATATTTTATTCAGAAGAAACAACACTTAGAAAAAAAAACTTTAGATGAAAAATTTTATATTTTATTTGAATTAGCAACAAATTATTAAAAAACAGAAAAGGTTATGAGTAATTAAAAGTATTATTCTTGGTTATATTACCTTGAAAGTGATTATAATTACACAATTCCAGAAATAGCAAAAAAAAAGAGAAAAATTAGTAATTGATAAACAATACATAAGAATCATGTTATATGTATTATATAATCATGAAAAATGCTAAGAATCAGCTTACATCAAACCTGTAAACGGTAAACATCATGGCCTCATTACTGCAAATGTCAACTATGAAATTGGGTAATGTCATTAAAAATTCTGAACCTGACCCCAGCTCTGATATCTGAAGTAACTCAACAGTTGAGATTGACTTACAGATTTGCTAAGATGCTGCTCCACAGCCTGAGGACATGTCTTATTGTTTTCTTGGTTTCAGTCAGGGACAATAATCCAGGTCTGCAGCTCAAGTCAACTGTGTTACATGTGAAAGAAGTGCAGAAATCCCCGGCGGTCCATTTACAGGCACAGATAAATTAAGTTACCTTAACCACTCAGCTGGGTTGATTGTCCTCGTCCCAGTATTCAGGCACAGGACTTGAACCATTTTATTCAAAGGAGTTTATTTTATTAGTTTTAACACAGCTTTATAAGGTGACAGTATGCCTGTTATATGTGGTGTCACACGATAAGCTGTTAGCTGTTAGCAAGTCAGTGTACTGCTCTGTTAGTTTCTTAATCATATACTTTGTTTTAAAAATGCACTCTTTTCTCTGTGGTCACAGTGTAATTTAAGGGCCAGTCGATGACATGTGATGCTAGCAGAACTAGCATAATTTACCAAATAATACCACAAACCTGATTGTGATGATTTTCTATTGTTTCTTCAGAAAGAGAAAAGCCAGACAAACGACTGTTTTCTTGCATAATTGATACTTTTATTTAGTTTTGTAGATACTCTAACAGTGTGTTTACAGTATAAATAATCTATTTTACTGACCGCAATGCCATAAACAGGAAGTAGCTGCTCTCTCACACACGACAGACATGACAGAAGAAAAGCTATTTTTGTTATTAATATTTGCTCTGTTTTATGCCCACTTAGTGACTGGCTAATTGTATAATTTGTTAATGTTTTCTCTCTTTGCCTGAATTTTGTACATGCCTTTTATTTTAATAGAAGAAAGTCCTAGTAAAGTTAGCAAGCTAATGTGTACTGCTGCTTCTGATACTGTCAATAGTACTTGTTGGCTAACTGCTGCTATCTAAGAAAATATATTGTAAATATATTTTTTCCTGGTATATTTGAAATAGTTCTATAGCTGAGTCGCAGTCTACACTTAAACCAAAACATGGGCCGTCTTGGAGGAACCCATTGATAACAAAAGCTAACAGGCTACTAGACAAAGTTAAGCTTCTGCTAACTTGTCTCATTTGGACAGATTCAGTGTAAATGATATGACTGAACAAATCTGGACTATTTTGACATGTTAGTCCAAGTTTGAGGCTTTAACAGCTTTATAATCAGGCAAGTACAATTAGGTGCATTTTAAAAATCCGGCTTGAGCTGTTTACATTTAATGGGATCATTGTAATCCAGTACATTTCTTCATGGGACCAACATACTTATACTTCTTAATAAGAGCTGAATAAGTGAGTGATATAATCACATAATGCTGCTCTCAGAAATCTACATGGCTCTTTGCCTTCAGCAATTGTATGCTGTTCAAACTGTTAAATGATCTCACCCCACAGACCACAAATGTTTTGTTTCTGTCTAAAAAGATAGATTCAGTTAGATTCAATGAGTAAATAAATAAATAATTCTTATTATTATTGTTGTTGTTGTTGAAGTGTCTGTTGTAGAACTCGCTTGTTATCACTTTTTCCTAGCTAACTTGCCAACTGTTAAACTAAAAGGCGTATTACCTTTGTGTTTATCATCACTGGTCTAATGTTTTACTATTATAGCACATCTCTGTAGAATTCTGCTGGACGTGTTTTGCACCCACAACCTGCTTCTTTGACTCGTCTAAGCACAAACATTGGAAAGCAAAAAACAAATCAAATGTAAATAGAAAAATGTCCATCAAAGAACGTTTTTTGACTTACCCTGATATACATATATAACGTTAATTATACTTGTTATATTTGTTATATCACTTTAACTTTAGTGGTTAAACGTACCACAATAAATTGTTCCAACTTGTTTTTTAAGCAGAGGTGCCTGAGTCTTCCCTGAGTCCATCAAAGTCAAGCTTGTATAATGAGCACAGTTGTCCAGTCAACAGTCCAGTGGGGCTATAACTGTAAGTGCATGACTTAACTGTGCATGTAAACACACAGAGTGTCCCAGCACAGATGGCCTGATTGTGTTTTAGTTGATTGACCCCTTCATTAGCCGAGGCCAGTTATTCCAAGCACAGTGAGAAGGTTTTTCCATGCCATCGTTGCCACATCCTTACGTTTTTGTCTCTGTTTTCTACCTGGAACCAGGTTTTCAGCTGAATCACTGTTGGAATCACTGGTCGAAACCGGGTCAGGGAGGGGCCACAATGACGTTAGCTCTGCTACTTGTGTATCTGACCGCTAACCTCGAACATATTATCCGAGGAGGATAGTGTTACTCAACACTGCTTGTGTATCAGGGACAGAAGCTGGAGCAGCGATAGAGTTACTGACAGGAGACAATGCTGA